TTCTTTCTCCTATTTTTCCTTTTAAAAAATTGTAATTAATAACCCACCCCCCCCCTCCCAAAAAAAAAAAAAAAAGAAAAAAGGAAAGAAAAATCAGCAAACACTTCCCATTAAAATTCCGATAAAACCTTAAAAGCAATTGCTAGATCCTCCCTTGAATTAACCCTCAATAAAAATCCTTTGGAACCTTAACCCTAATTATACTCCTAAAGCCAAACCCTATTAGCTTCAAAACCATAGAGCTAGCTGTGGAGACCTTCTGGAATTGATTAAAAATATTCTACACCCGCTGAGGATCAGTTTTTATTTAAATGATTATTCTTAAAGACAGATTTCAATACACTACAGTTTCAAAATCTAATCTATTGGACATTTAAATAAATTCAAAATTATATGACTTATATAAGTTTGTTTATTTAGTTTTGTGGATGATTACCTGCTGAAGTTGTCGATGCTAGTCATCAAAGATTCGTGAATGGTTGATCTTAGGTTACGTATGCACCAACTATATTAATACTCGGAATTAAGACAATGTAAGAATTAGCATGTGCACAAACAATGTGCATATTATTTTAACTTTAGCTTCCATGGTCAAGGTTCCCATTCTGCTGATTGTCTATCTTGAGGTTATCATGCAGATAAGGACTTGGGGTGGTTTTGTTTGTGTGTGTGTGGGTCGGGGGGGTTGGGATGTACAATGCGTGGATCTCAATGCGGTTGCGATGGGGGCACATCTCTTATGATGTTGATAATAAATGGGGAAATTTATTAAAATGCACTCAACTTTTCAACAATTTAACAGTTCACCCCTTTTCAACCATTCCATCTCATGGTATATTTTGAAATTAAATCAAAAGATATGGGTGAAATGTTGAATAGTTGATCTTTTACGTGTATTTGATAAATTTCCCTAATAAATACAAGAATTTAAAATTATAAAATTTATAATCATATAAAAATAATTTGAAATGTGATTTATGTGAAAGTAGGAGTTTTAATGTAGTATTTGTCCCTAAAATACACGTTGTTTGAGTCACCAATAGAGTATAACAATCATTTCTATGTCTACGCACTAATATAATTGACATGTGAGATGAACTAATTCAATTCATTCATTAAATTCAATATAAAAGAACATATATATACTGACTAGGATTCATGATTGAGATGTGGTAAGAGTTGTACTCTGTGACTACCAATTGTAAAAGCGACCATGCTTTATGGGATGGAATGTTGGGTGGTCAAGAAACAATATATCTATAGAATGAGCTGAAATGAGGATTCTGAGATGGATGAGTAGCAGGACAATGATAGAATTTAGAATGAATACACCTGAGGGAACCTTAGGGGTAGCTCAAATGGGCGGTAAGATGAGGGAAAGTAGACTTAGGTAATTTGGTTAGGTGTAAAATCGATATAGAATAACATCAGTTAGGAGGGGGATTTGGTTCAAGCGGAAGGCTCTAACAGAACAAGGCGAGGCCCAAAAAGACAGGGATGGAAGTAGTGAGAAGAGATATGTTGGCTTATGGTCTGATTGGGGTATAACCCTTGATAGAGCATAATGGTATAACAATATTCGTATAGCCGATCCCAAATAGTTGGGATAAGGTTCGGATGATGATGATTGATGATGATATATTAGCATTTAGCAACCAAGTTTGTTGTAAGGTACAACCAAATTTCAAAGAGTCTAAAGTTACTCGATAATTCTTCGTCCGAAATCCTCTAAAAGACAACATAAAATCATAATTGTTGGGATCAGGAGCAGGACTGGTATCGGGATTGGAGGAGTGCAATGAATATAATGCATATGTTAGGGATCATCATCGTCGTCATCCAAGCCTATCCCAATTATTTGGGGTTGGCTACGTGAATCATGTTCTTCCATTCTTCTCTATCAAGGGCCATATCCTCAGTAAAGTCAAAAGTCATTGTATCTTTTCTCACTACTTCTATCCATGCCTTTTTGGATCTTTCTCTTGCCCTTTTAAAGTCTTCAACTTGAACCAAATTGTACCTCCTAACTAGTGTTGTATTAGTTCTACGCTGTGCATGGCCAACCCACCTAAGTCTACTTTCTCTCATCTTATCGCCTATTAAAGCCACACTTAAATTTTATCATTTCTTGTCTTGCCACTTATCCATTTCAATATCCTCATCTCAACTGCACTCATCCTATAGATATGTTGTGTCTTGACTGCCCAACATTCCATCTCATAAAGCATGGTTGGTCTTACAACCGTCTGCCATAGAACCCTTCAGTCTCATTGATATGCGGCGATCAAATAAAACTCCGGATGCACATCTCCACTTTGCCCATCCAGCTCTAATTATATGTGCGATAACAATCTCTTTTAGGTATATCTTGACCATCAATTGTAGCTACTTCCTCGTTTTTTTTCCTATAATTACTAAACTTGCATTCCATATATTATGTCTTAGTCCGGCTAATTTTAAAACCTTTAGATTCTAGAGCATCCCTCCAATGATTGAGACCCCTAAATGTTAGGGGTCTAGATCTTGACCTTTTGGGGATATCAATCCCGATCTTTTAGAATCTCGATCCCAACTATTGTAGGATCTTGCTCCCAACCTTAAGGAGTATCTATAATGTAGAATTATATATGCTCTCTAAAGTACGGATGGCTTTATTTATGGCCTACAAGAAATGCAACCATATCAAAAGTATAGTTGCATTGTTAATTGGCTTTAAAGAAAGAAAATCATCAACTTGGTCATTATTGTGGTCTTTAAGATGGGAATCTAGATTCCTAACAATGGCATTTGAGATCCCTAATAGTGAGGTTGATATCCAAAAATTTAAAAATTGAGATTCCCTAATGATTCCTTTTTCGGAGCAATGGAGCGAGATTCCGGTGTGAGATCGCCTCCTAGTTTGGGAGTTCCCAGCAACTATGCACAAAATCAACTTGACGTTTTGCAAAAGATTTCATAAAGTTCGTTGGAAATTTTGAAATGGAAGAAATCGATTTTGATCCTGATTTTAATCCCCTTAGAACCAATCTTCTTGGTTCTAAGGGGTTGTAAGGTGGCTTTATACCCCAGTTCCCCTCTGAAGAAACCATTTGCCCTCCTTTCGGAAGGTCTGCATATTAGGGCATGGCATCTTACATGGTGTGATGCTCTCGCAAATGGGGGCTCATGCTGCCAAAGTAGGCTCATCTTGCAGGCCCACTTAGATGGCTATATTCTCCACCTTGATGTGGTCGTATAATGCGTTATGCGGCCACTTTAGATACCTGTGCTCTATGTTTGGGTATGAAATCTCAAATTTTTTTCACCCTCATACAATCATACTTTTAGATTTTTTGAACAACTAATTATGGCTATCTGTATTTTTTCTTTTTGTTTGGGTAAATATATATTTTATTGCTCATTAGCCATTTTATAGATTGTGGAAGTATGCCTCAAGTTGCACCTGTCAGGGTTCATATAAACAGAGACAATTCCATCTCTAGATGACCTCTTGGATTCTAAGGTTCATACACGATTTTGGAATTACATCATGGCTACGTCACTAAAATGCTGGAAAAATAGAAGGATAAAATAATCTATACACTAAAATATAGTTACTGGATTGTTATAACATGTAATGTGCCATGTATAATGTACAGTGCACTATATGCATTAAAACACATAAGTCTGTTAACTAAAATTTTCTACATCCTTATTGGTGCTGTTTTCAATTCCAAATCTTTGAGTTTGGCGCATAGATGGCACTAATAAGATGGGGATAATGGGGTATCCTCTTTCCTGTTTTCAAATGATCTCTATAATGTATTTCTAGGTGTATTTTCTTGATGCCGTGGTATCTTTGATTGACAGTACTAGATGCACTCAGTCAATTTAAGCATTATACGCTGTTACCTTATGTGTACGTGGAAAGTACACCGTCAAATCTTGTTGCTTCTCTGTTGTTACTATTACTGACATATACATCCAAATTTTATTTTATGAAATGATTGATCATCTCTCTAATTTGTGATACTTTAAGATTATTATTTATCAAGATTAAGTTTGTGAAATCCTTGGGTGTTCTGTTGAATAGGTTGGTGCAAGCTAAGGATGTTGTATTTGAGTGTGGTCCCAACTGTCGATGTGGATCCAGTTGTGTAAACCGAACCTCTCAGCGAGGACTTAGATACCGACTTGAGGTCATGGATCACGTGGTTGCAAAAGCTTGTTGTTCTATTTCTTTTTTTGTTAGTTTGAATATTGAGGGGCTTGTTTCCATTTTAATATCTCTTCTGTTCTCTCAACAGGTTTTTCGTACTCCAAATAAAGGATGGGCTGTCAGGTCTTTGGAATCCATACCCTCTGGGGCACCAATATGCGAATATACAGGCTTCCTTAGGCAAACAGATGAAATAGACAATGAGTTGGAGAACAATTATATTTTTGAAATTGATTGCCTCCAAACAATGAAAGGGATCGATGGAAGACAGGTAGTAAGTTCTGGATATTTATTGTTTTCCCCATACAGCATTGAGAAATATAGCTGCATGTTGTAACTGAGCATTCATCTGCATGTTTTCAGAATCTCATTTCCGGCACAAGCTAGTAGTAGAATTCAAGATACACACTATTTACCATGATAATGGCTGTTATAATATCATTGTAACGGTGATAATGACCGTTTTCTAAGACGAAGCAGGACTCTCCCAGTTGTGTACGTAGTATTTTTCTTGAACCTTCCTATAAAGTTGTGCTGCCATCTGAAAAGCTTGAACCCATTTCAATTGCATATTTCTTGGACATTGGATTTTCTCTCTGTTACACATCACTTTTTTCTGGTGCGCTAGTGTTGGTTTACTAGGACTTTGTAAGTGGTGTCTGCGACTCACATCACACGTTTGGCTTTACTTCTGATTCATTTAAATGGTTACTATGTTGTTTGATTTGTTTGGCATGTCATGCTGCACATGAACATGTGATATTATACTGCTTAAGGTCTTCAGTGGGTCTCAACATATGGCAAGACTTGCTTGTTGATGTATCAAGACAAAATGTTTAGAAATCAGACAGGCAGTGGCATAATTGAAACTTCCTTACATTTGTTGACCAGTGAGTGAATAGTCACACCAAGACAATGACACTGTTGTGTAAACGGAATAACAGATTTGGTTGGAATTGCTGCTTTATGAGCTACGTGTGATTTATCACCCAATTCTTTTGAGTTATTCTGTGTTGAACCGACACATGAGGATGTTGGGCCCTAAGAATGGGTTCTACCCTTCCAGCACCCGCCAAAAATATCCTACTGATGTTGGGCCCTAAGAATGGCCTTTACCTACTGTTTTTGCAGATGAAAATGTTCTATAAAGAAATTACATTTCCAGTCAATTCCTAATTTGTTTCGTGATTTTTATGTATGACTTAGATAAGGACACTGACATGTGATTTTGTTCAATAGACACCTTTTCATTTATTTTGCTCAAAACGACTCAAACTGAGGTGGAAGCATTCCTGGGATTTGCTTGGTGTTTTTCCTTGTTGAGGCCATATATTCTTTCGCTGGTCTATGAAATAAGAAACTGTCTGGCTTACCTCTGTGGTACTGGTGAGGGAAAGTTAACTAAGATTTGCTTTATATTTGGCCTTTGAAATTGCTTCATGATATGGTAAATTAAATCAAAGTTCAACTTCTGTTGCCATATTCCATCTTCGTGAAAGTATTTGCAAGGTGAATCATGTTAGGCACCCACTGACACAGGATACAATTTTATTATTTCTGAGTCATTTTGTAAATCAATAAGGTGGCCAATATCCATGATACTTGCCATCAGCAAATTTAGCATTTTATCAGGATATTCTTTCTTAATCTCTTTTCTGATTTGCTTGTTGAACCTTGTTGATTAGTGTTCAGAACTTGATTTTTGCTTACTTGTTGTGATGATGTTACTCATCTAAAAAGAACTGATAAATTATTTTGAAATTGCCTCTGTTGGATATTTAAAATGAATGCCTTTCCTTTCTGTGCCAATTCTTGTAGAGGCGATTTGGAGATGTTTCTATACATAGCCCTGCTAATCTTCATAAAATTGAAGATAAGAAGTCAGAGGGCCACCCAGAGTTTTGTATAGATGCCGGAAGTACAGGGAATGTCGCAAGATTCATCAATCACAGTTGCGAGCCAAATCTCTTTGTACAGTGTGTTTTAAGTTCACACCATGATCTAAAACTTGCACGGGTGATGCTCTTTGCATCTGACAACATTCCCCCGCTACAGGTAATCGAGACTTCTTTTTATATATGCGTTGCTATTAAATGTTTGTTATATGATTTCCCTATTGACATTTGTTGTGATATAACTTAGCCCGTTGTTTAAATGGAATGACCCCTCTATGTTCTTCTTGTGAGTAGTTGCAAGACACGGGAATACCCCTCTATGTTCTTCTTGTTAGTAGTTGCAAGTCGATTGTCTGTATGCATCATTGAGTACCACTTGATGGATACTCCTCTATGTTTTGGTAGCGTGGTTATTCTGAAGACAAAGGACCATGTCCTTTTCAATTTCATACTTAATTGCAGTAGGCTCAGGTTTAAATCTCAACTTTTTTCTTCCAGTTCTTCATATCCTAGTCAAATATATTGTTTGGTACAAGGGGATGTGACCTTGACAGTTACTTTTTTCCAAAAGATCATATGATCCCCCGGGAGCATATCATACATTCATTCCCTTCCATTAGTATAACCCTATCTACATGTATTTTTAGGATCCAAATTTTGGGGATGTAAGCTCTTCAACCTAATGGCCCACCTCAAAAAGATATAAAAGAAAAAAAAAAAAAAAAAAAAAAAAAATTCATATGCACTTTATATGTGCTTGAAAAAAAAACTAACATCCTAAGATTGAACAAGTGTTCAGGAACTCAAAAGTCCTTTGTTTTTCCTTAGGAAAATACTCATCTGATCATTCTGAAATTTAAAGTGATCCCAAATCTTTGGATTGCAGAAATCCATCTAAGTTAGTTTTTGCCCTAGGGAGCAAGTGTATAGTGTGCTCCTGGGTGTATGTCATCAACACTCGACTTTATTTCTTATGGTCTTCACGTTATCTCCAAAGTAATGTGTAGCTTTTGTGTGTTACTTGACATTGTCGTTCTTTGTTAACTACCTTTTTCTTCATTTAATATCAAGTGAATTTTCGTCCTCGTAAAGCATGTGATGTAAACCCCAATTTTGGGTTTTCCTCAAGGTTTACGCAATCCTTGTGTCACTCCGAACATTGTATCAGTACAGCTTTATGCTGAAACCTAATGCCGTCTCACATAAGAGAGGAGAAAAGAAGCTTAGTTCTTGTGAGTGGACATCTTAGTGGTCCATAATACACAAACATTGTGATCATCAACACAAATTGAAGCCCCAACTAACCATTTTACATCTGAGACCTATTTTTCATAAATAAGATGGAAAGTGGAATTTATTTTCTTTTTATTGATGAGAACAATGTTTCATAAAACGGTCTGCTCGGTGCTTAGGCGCCCTGGACCAAAACACCGTACGCCCAGACCCAAGCGGCCCAACACGGGCAAGATGTATCTGGGGCCCATGGACATGGGCTTGTTTTTTATATATTTATTTATTTTTAATTAGATACCTTAAAGGGAAATGGGGGCAAGTTTGACCCCCAAAAAAGGTCTAAATAGGTTATGGAAATTATTTTTACCCCTAAAATTAAAAGAACAATTCCATAAACCCTTAATGTCTTAACTAAACTAATTTCTGAGAATCAAAAGTATTTTTTATGTATTGAAGAAGCTTCCTAAACTTTTTCACTTAGTAATATGGAGAGTTGGAGACTATCACTAATACCTATCCTATTAAACTTTAAAATTTTGTATGGCTTGCATTTTGAAATTTTGAACAAGTTTATCCTCAACATGCGATATGACATCTGCTTGTATATAAAAAAAATGTTACAATAATGCAACATTTTCAAATGCAATAAATTACAAAATTGACACAAAGATGTAAATATATTTTATATATATAGAACTTGTACTACAGGGTGCCCAATTATCTAGGCGGGCCGCCTAGGAGCTGCCTAGCTTTTTTGAAACCTTGGATAAGAATGTGGCGTGAGCTCACTTTAGAAATGTGTATGCATGCGTGTGTGCTTGTGTGTAAATAAAGTTTTTAACAATTTGACACTACTATCAATTAGGTTATTGTATTTGAGGCATTATTCATCATCATCATCATCATCATCGTCAAAGCCTTTTCCCAACTAATTGGGGTCGGCTACACGAATCGTAGTCCGCCATTTTACTCCAATAAGGGTCATACCTTCAATGTGGCCATAAGTCCCCATATCTTTTCTCACTGTTTCCAACCATGTCCTTTTGGGCCTACCCCTTACCCTTTTTGAGCCTTCCACTTGAACTAACTTACACATTCTAACATGTATTGACTGGGTCTGTGCCACACATGGTGCTATCCCACCTAAGTCTACTCTCTCTCATCTTGTAGCCTATTAGTGCCATACCTAAACTTTTTCGAATGTATTTATTTTGAATTTTATCTTATAGTTGTTTAAAACATCTGTGATTCCGAATCGTTTCTAGAATCGAAATCGTGGAATCGTGTGTATCAGAAGTTTCGGAATCTAGGAATCGTTGTCCGTACAATTTGGATATGAAGAAAATGACTCTTACTATTTCGGAATCACGATTCAAAAAATTAGGAATCGTGTTTCCTATTTGCAAGAATCGATGTCCCTTCATGTTGGAATCGTGTTTCATACCTATATGGAATCACACATGACCCCATGTGTTTTGGTGGTTGCTAGAATAGTGATTCTTAAAAATATGGAATCGTGATTCCTACAAATAAGGAATCATGATTCCTAAAATTCTAGAATCGTTTTTCCCATCAACTTGGAATCAACAGTCTCACCATTCCGGAATCGTGATTCTCCCCATATTGGAATCGAGATTTTCCCCCTACTATAATTGTAAACCAATTCCCTCTAGTATATGAGAGAAGTATTCAAACCCATTGCTACAAGATCGAATTTTGGAATGTATATAATCAGTCCATGACTCCAAGTACTAATGTCAGCTTTTATGATATCTTTGTGGACAATCTCATACAATAGACTCGGTCTACCGATAACCCTATTATGCCTACAAGGTCTGGAGCTAGTCTACGGCATGCAAGGAGTGAGAACAAGGGCAAGCTCCCTTTATCTCCTTTCCTTGAATTATAAAATAAATACATAACATAGTAATTCTTCTCTGTTAAATGTAGTTTTGAGTCTTTTGACTTTTGAAAATTGAGTTATTCAATTTTTAGTGAATTTTTGTGATATTTAATAATTAATTTAACTTAAAACACCACACATGGCACTTCGCTCATATCCTTATTATCTTCTTATTTTACTTGAACAATAGCATTTTTATCCTCTTAGTCAACTTGAAGAAATGATGGTGCCGATCATATATTAAACATTATTACATTAGTAGTTTAGTACCCACACCATTTACCAAACATTATTAAATTTGAAGTAACATATTTTTTTAGTATTATTTATTCTTGATAAGAGTTCTTAAAAAGTAACATGGAATGAAGGATGGAAATTAGTAAATAAGAAAATAAAAAATTTAACATATTACTTATATTTTAAATTTTGATTTTATTGCTGTGTGCAACAACTTGAAATTCTCTCACGCTCTCATACATGTCGCGCTCACACATCAAAGGGTTTCTGCTCACATATTACTCATATTTTAAATTTTGATTTTATTGCCATGTGCAAGAACTTCAAATTCTCTCACGCCCTCATACCGCTCACTCATGATTGAGCACACATCGAAGGGTTTCTGCTCTTCCTATGCTCACATTGCTTCCTGAAAACATGGATTCGCAATTCCTTAATACTTTGAATCAACGTTTAGCGCAAGTAGACGCATTGTTGTGTAGCAAGGAATCACGATGTTTGCGATGTAGAAACTTGATTCTAAACAACATTGATTCACAATTCCAAAAAATTTGGAATCAATGTGTCTCACAAGCAGAGTCGCATTCTTGTGTAACTAAGAATCATAAAGTCCTCGATATGGAATCTTGATTCCGGCAATCCGGGATTCGAAATTCCTAAACTAGGTGGAATCGCATTCCGTAAAAAATGAACGTGATTCTTTTTTTTTAGAATCGACTTTTGCCTAGGGAAACGCCGAAACAGCATCGGTACCCTCATAGGCGATTCGGGTAATTATATTCTATCCCATCTTGTCTTGCCACTCATCCATCTCAACATCCTCTTCTCCGCTGTACTCATTCTATGGGTATATTATTTTTGTCCGCCCAACATTTCGCCCCTTAGAGCAAAGCTGGTCTCACGGCTGTCCTATAGAACTTGCCCTTTAGCTTCATTGGTATGCGGCGATCACATAAAATTCCAGTTGCACATCTCCATTTCGCTCATGCAGCTCTAATTTTATGTGCGTCGTCTTCCTCAATCTCTCCATTTTATTGGATTATTGACCCAAGATGTCGAAAGTACACTCTTTTTGGTATTTCTAGCTGTCAATCCTAGTCATTTGAGGCATTGTTATGTGGACAAAATTAGTTTGTAGTTTTTTGGAAGCTGGAACAGGTGTGGGAGCGGGGGATCAGCATAGCAAGAAGCTCTTGAGTTTGAGAGCATCATAGGAGTGCTCGTTCAGTAAATAGATTTAAGGTATGAAAATAAGAATGCCCACAATTTTATATGTTATATTTAGATACTCAAAAAATTTATTAGGAATATATTTATTTTACTTACTAATATATTTTTGCAAGTAAATTTTTCATCTCCTATTTATTTACTTAAAGTCTTATCAGATAAGAGTATTGCATAATACTATGCCAAAGTTATTTATTTGATCAATGTATTGTAGATTTTGCTAGTAGATGTCAATAGATTTCAGCTGAAACAGTTAGTGCCTTTTTCTTCCCCAAGGCCTTCATTATAAACTGAAAGAGACTAGAGCATTGATAGAGATATAAATAAATATAGAGATTATAGAGATGATCTTTCATCCGAAGTATATCTAGGACCCGTCATTCTTCTTAATGCACTTATGGCACCATTCAATCCTACTTTCTTGTTTTTAATTTAGTTGATCTGGATTTAAGCATCTTTTCCCTTGCAAAAAATTTTAGCCTAGCATTTGCATCTATATTTCTTTCTTTTTTGATTGAAAAGCATATAACACTTCTCTTTTTGGATGGATATGGATTAAAAATTTCCTCTCCTTATAGAAAGTATAGAAACCATGATTACTTTCTTTTTGCGATTGATATGCATTTAAGGCTTGTTTCCTTATGAAAGATAACATGAGTATGAATTGTTGAGTGATCCATAAGGGATTGGGGTCGTGTTCCCCTAATATTGGAGCTGGATCCATCTAAGATTCCACTCTGAGAACTTGGGGTTGCCACCAAGTTGGGCAATCCTGTTAGCTAAGGATTACTTATTTATTAAATGTTTTTGATGTGGCACTAGCATTTAATCTTGGTATATAATACATGTGAAAATAATTCTAGAATGAAACTATTTATCTATATATGAAATATTATTTTTCTTCAAATTTTGTCTTATTTTATTTTTTGGGCTAAATGATCCGCTGTATCGGTTTGTAGTGGATCAACCTCTTTCCCAGCCAGTCTTGATAACATTGAAAGTCTGGTAGGGCCTGTTTAGTAACTGGAAACTGAAAGTTTCCTGGGAAGTGGAAGTTCTGAACTTCTAGAAGCTGGATGTTTTGATACTGTTAACCGTCAAATATTGTGTTTGATAACCTATTTGGAGTTTTAGGAAGTCTGGGTACTTGTGGTTGATTGAACATGGGATTTTGGAAAGTAGCAGTATCCAACTTCTTTTTCTTTTCTTTGTTTTAATTGGAAGCTCCGAACAGGCCTTCCACCGTAACACTTCCTACTATCAAACTCGGACAAGCTACAAAACCTGGAACTTCTGGTTTCTAGAGCCAGAAGTTCCAGAAATCGCATGTGCCAGTAGTTTCATTGAGAGTTAGGTAAATTGATGTTTAAGCAAAGGTTGAGAACCTGTGGGGTAAAAGGTCCTCTTTTTAGAGTTGAAAATAGATAATGGAGTGAATATTTCCCCTCTCAATGAGACCAAACAAGGAGAGTAGGTTGTTCTGGCTGATGGTTTTTTTGAAAGTGTTTAACTGTTCTATTCTATTGAGCAAAGAGAGAGTTACAGGTGTCCAAAAAATAGGCTTTACCAAAAGTCAGGAGCTCTATACAAAAATAAGCTGCCCGCAGAGCGGAAGCTGTGTATAAAAAGCATAAAGGTTACCCACATGTTTCTAGCCTTGTACAAAAAATGACCAAGGAAGTTTGGTACAAACTAGATACAAAAAAATCCCTTGTGCTGAGTGTCATGTTAAGCTGCTTGAAGCTCTGTAGTTAGTATGTCGGCTTCTGAGTTGGCCTCACACCCGATATGCCTCCATGAGACGTCCAAATCCTTGCAAATATGCACGATTTCATAAAAAATGTCAACTAGCGACCAGGGACAAGGAGATGCAGCCAAGGCCCCACGGATCACGTTCTTGGAATCTCCCTCAATGATTAAGGACGGCCACCACTGTGGATTCAATAACCTGTGGCCCTCAAGCAAAGGTAGGCCTCCGCAGTTTGTGAAGCAAAATGTCCAAGATGCTTGGAGAAGGATTGAAGGGCCTCTGCAATTTTGGCTGATGTTATCAGGACCGAACTAGCAATTGAATGCTGAGGATCCTGTCTCGTCTGAACATGTGTGAGCCATGGTTGCAGTAGATCTCTAAAGTAATAATAGGAAAATAAGAAAAATTAGCCAAAACTATAAATATAATTTAAATAAAAAATTTCCCAACCAGATTGGCCAGACTTAGCTGTTTATCTGATAAACCAAAACAGATCAAATATTGGTTTTAGTTGGTTTTAGACTGAATGCATTTGTTGGTTTGGGCAGCTTTGGCAAAGAGACTGGCCACCAGTTTCACCAGACTGTACTGGGCAAGTTAGATCAGTCTTACTAACTATGACGATGGCCTTCATGCCCTAAGAAGCTCTCTTGGTGTGTGAGTAGCTGCATGTACATCACATAATTTTCATTCATTATTTTTATTAGTAATATGTTTGACAAATGTTATTCGTTTTATGAACACTCTTTGTTCATTCCATTCATGTAAATACCTGGTTTGCATGAGGCAGACCAAGGGTTGGAAACCATGAAGTTTGTCTGAAGAAAACAAATCAAGCCAGACTACCCTTAATGAAGTCATTTTGAAATTAACATTTTTTCTCACTTTTGCTTCTTGTGTAGGAACTTACCTATGACTATGGCTATGCACTTGGTAGCGTGATGGATGCTGATGGCAAGATCAAGACAATGCCTTGCTACTGCGGAGCTTCCAGTTGTCGGAAACGTTTGTATTAGATCATTGTTCATTGTCGGTATTGATTTTGAGCTGGGCTGTTCGAGGTTGGTTTGCTTTGTGATCTTCCAAGGAAGAGGTTGGTGATGCTTTATACTCGAGGTGGTTTGGAGCCCACCACTGTGGCATACATATTTTTTATAGTGTTCTTCAGTGTTGCTTTCAATGGACGAGCAGCTTGTATATCTGAGGATGGGTTTTGGGGTTGCTAGGAACGCGGCTGGCTATATCGGAGGAATTGTTTTGCAGCTATTATGTCTTCTACCAATGCCTACCGGTAGCCTTTTGGTTCCTTTTTTAGACCGATAGGCTCAATTTGTAATATATAACCAAAATATATTGCAAGATGGTTGGTCCTTTTTCTTTTAAGATAATATATTTATGTTGCATTCATTGAAAAGTACAAGTTGAGTAATTACAAGGATGCCTATTGTGGCATCAATTTGTGATATAATGTATGAAAGTTGTATCTGTTGTTATGTTTGTTGTTATGTTTGGTGTACACAAGATTGAAACACTATATACTATTACACGTTGCTCATTTATTCATACTTAGCTACTCAAAACTATCCAGTTCTAAAAAACTCAAACCACTGCTAAAAATCCCACAACCTGGCCATGTCTATATGATTGAGTCGTCATTATCATAGTCCAAGCTTTATCTTAATTATTTAATGTTGGCTACATGAATCTAGTTCTTCTATTTTTCTCTATCAAAGGCCATGCTATCAATAAGATAAAAAACTTACCATATCTTTTTTTATTACTTCTATCATCTTAAACTTCTTTTTAACCCGTCTTAAGTCTGGACAAAGGAAGTGATTTGTGTTACATAGGCTGCCAACGTAAAACTTTGCTACATCTTATCATTAATCCTCTTTAAAAGACAAGGTAACTACTTGAAAGAACCAGCAATGTTGTGGACATGCAAATCGGAATGGAAACTTAGTCATGTTTGGAGATAAACCAAGCCTTTGACAAGGTCATAGGAACAGTGTGCAGATTCATTGTTGCAGCTGAACAAGCCCTTACCATACAGAAAGTGTAGCACAAGGTCCATACCGAGCTTGTGTGCTATGCAAGGCATGCGTTAACCACTCAAGACGCAATAGATATGAATTGCAGTAGATGTCCAGGTGGAATTGCAGTTCATTTCTGCTGCGCATTTTGAAAATGTATTATATGGCATACATGAGCTGATGTGCTGTTTTTTCGCTTTGATAAAATGGCAAAACTAGGTAGTCGTGCCATTGGTGATTCTCGACCTAGATGCTTAAAACTATTTCTTAAACAAAATTTGCTGCTTGCTCTGTATCACGTATTGTCCCCCATCTTCCAAAAAGGGAGGATAATCTAAAGAATCCAGACCGAGGATGGTTCTCGAGAATTCAGTGAGGGATGATGAAGTGGCTCTTGCTCGTGGAAATTTATGTGCCATCTTATGTATCCTTTCCAAATTTCTCTGTTTACCCCAACCAATAAAAATCTTCAAATTCCACCTTGCAATAGAGAGATGCATATGTAGCTTTTTACTTGCTTTATTTTCTTTTTTATTTGGAAACTGTTTACTGTACTTACTGGGCATTTTTTTCTTCAACCACAATTTGTGTGTTTTGAACCCTCTTAGATTGGAGGACATGCGTCTCACAGGGCCAGAGAGAGAGAGAGGGCGGCCTCCAAAACAATTCTTTCACAAGGATGCTACATCAAATCTATTTCACATAACACACATGATAGGACCTTTACCTGTCAATCATAATACATGTGATATATGACAATAAACAGGCCATGAGGACTGCTAAAACCATAGTGGCCTCTACAAAATCAAGAACTACATGCCTCTCGAGCATACCATCTGGACAACCAAAACTCCACCTTCTGAAGCATGGCTAATGCCTCTGTTTCAACAGAGATGTGTAATTGATGCTGGTTTCCTATAATGATACATGAGATACTGATGATTTCGTGGTAGTTGTCGATGATGATGACTCAGATGCAAAATCGACCAATGGGGTATCCTGCATTCCATTCCTAAAACTTGTGGAGTTTAGAGGAGGTCTTTGTGGGTTGGGAGCTTTGTGCCTTTGGCCCTGTTCTGCAAGCCTCCTTAAAATGTTCATTATAGTTGGGAAAAGCCTCATAGAGATAGAGAGAAGCCCAGGGATCTGCATTGAATAAAAAAGTGAGATGATCCTATCAAGCATTGAAATGATCTTAAAACTAGGATATGGCTTCCAAAATGAACAACCACACGAGAGAGAGAGAGAGAGAGAGAGAGAGTCACAAAGCCGTTTTGGAATTCCCCAGGTATGTCAAGCTGAACCCACAAGGCTTTTGCCAATAAGAAAACAACAAAGAGCACTCCCAAGTACAGAGGATTCCTGTTCGACAGTGGGTGCAACATAACAAGCACCATGTGATATGAAAAGAAGATTAGTCAATGAACAGTGTAAAAGAAAGGCAAATCATGTTTGAAACTAATGTCCATTAACTACCTTAGAAGTGTCATAAATTCATTGAAGCCGAGGACAGCCATTGCAACAATTGCCCAAGGAGGAGGTAACCAGTTGTTACTGCGCCTACTAGCTTCCTGAAATTGGTTATTAGCTTTATGACTAATATAATATCAAGACATTAACTTCCTACCAGGACTGGCACAGATCTAAGAATGCATTATAATAAATGCACTTAGGTTATTTTGACAATTACCATATTAACAGTAGCAGTATCCAGATTTTATCTCTAAAACGTTCTAGATACTACTTCAGATAATTTCTTTTGATAAGTGTATTATTTCATATTGCCATTCTAACATTTTTAATTCATTTTATAGCAGTTACTAATTCAGGCATTCTTCGTTTTTTATCTGTGCTCAGTAAACGATTTATTTAAGTCCATTAGACATGATTAAATGTAAAAATAGGTCAGAACCCAATGTTACCTCTACATTATGCCTCATCAGAACAAAAGCACTCCAAAAATAAAGATAAAGAACAGTAAATGGGAGGTAAAAGTTCAATCCTTATAAGGAATTCATTATTAAAGAAAAAACTACAAAGAAAAAAAATAGAGGACACATACCTGTGCAGCAATAGCTTGAGTGACTGTATACTCTGTTTCGGTATTGAACTGCCTCCACAAAGACTTGCACTGAACAGGGGTTATCAGCGTATTTGCTGGGGGCACCTGGTCAAGTAAGAAAAAGAATATCAAACAAATGTCCTACGTGTCAAATTTAAAAAGTAAAAAGAAAAAGGAAGACACTGTATTTCCCAGTGCTTAGGACACATATTAGATAGTTACAGTACCTCTTCCCATGTGCTCGAAGCAAGTGGACCTATGGATGACGTGATACTTCTATCTCTGACAAGGCCAACAGCACTAGAACCATCCATGTAAGAGGATGACAATGTATTTTCTATGTTATCTGGCTTCTCATCTAAACGTATGGCAGCCATTACAGATAGAAGGTTCAGGGACTGCAACATGAAGTCAGAACTTCAGCAGCATAATCTTGACTTCAAATAGACACTTATATTCCTACTTATGTGATGGCGGGATAATTTCAAGCGGTCTGTGTGAAGCCCCATTTTTTTTTGTGTGGGTGAAAGGGCTTATGTTGTAAGGGTAAGAATATGGTTGCATGGAAGCACAAAAAAAAATTGATGAACAAAACAATTGCAATGAAAAGTAATGTGGGAAACATTAAACTAGAGATACGATTGAAAGACATGCAACCAAGGAAATTTGTTCTTAATTGACACATCAAAATGGGCCTACCCATATCATGTCGTGAAAAAACTAAAAACAAGAAATTGCCAAACATTTCTACAATGGGGTTAAAAAACCCACATTAAAAAACACTGAGATGCTTATAATCTCTGAAAATAACAAGAAACCCAATTTGAAATAATGATCAGAGCATGGGAAATGACTGAAAATTAGTCAAGAAAGTACATAAAGATTGTGGAAGAGATATTTAGGACATAGAATAATCTAATAGATATTGCTTCAGTCAATTCTATTAAAAAAATTAATTTGGTAAACGGATAAAAGAGTCCTTTAACTGTATCTACTTCACAGGAAGTAACAACCTGAATGAAGTTTGCTATGATGACTACCAGGATTCTGAAAGGGTACTTTCCCGGAAAGTCACAAAATGCGAATAAAAGGCCATATAGGTGCTTAGGTAAATATACAATATACTACTTGACAACAAACAGTCTAGTAAACAAAATACCGCAGCACGAGCATCCTTTGTGATCTTCCGAATATCTTCCTTCCCAGTCCAAACTCTTGGCATCGAGTCATTATCATGACTGAACAGTGTTGTAAACCTGTCAAAAATCCTCAAAGTGAGCTACTGTTCAAATTTCCACTCACAAAACCTGAATGGAAAAATAAGAGCAACGGTAACAAATAAGAAAATCATAAAGCTAGGTCACATGATTCAGGTTCTCACCTATCCTTCATACGTATCAGAACCTTGCCAGCTTCCTCCCTGGCTTTTTTCTCTACCACACTTCTTGCAAAGGCAACAAGATGTCCCGCCATCTTATCCACAGTTTCTTGATCTAATTCAAAACCAGTAAGGGAACATGATAATCCTGACACTGCTTTATTGGTCTCACGTCTAAGAATCTTCCTAATTGATGCCCAAGTATCTTGACCAGCTGCTTCAAATAGTGATTCTACAGGTTCAGCTAGTGCTTCAGTAACTTGTTTCTGTATGAAATGACATTAGTTCACAATAAACTATAATGATGAGGAGCATTTTAAGGGGCAGTATAATAGATAGACAACGATATCATTAAAACTTTCATACAATTGTGTCAAAAAAAAAAGCGTCAAGAAAAATAAAAACATGACTAACAATAAATAATTATGCATTTTCTCCACATGCACATCTTCAAGATGTTAATGATAGAAAAAGGAAAAACTTCAATGTGTTATACCTCATAATGAGCTGTAATTTCAGATAGCTTGGCAGCACGAACTGATGCTACATGCGTTTCAATATCACGTTGAAGCTTTTCACGGACTTTGGAAGAATCCCAGTTAGCTTGCTGAATAGCTACATCTGCAAGCAATCAACAAATGATACTTACGCCTGCATTCTACCCAAAAGTGAAAATAATATAAAAAAGCAAATTACTGCTGATAAAAAAAAATCACATGAACTTCCTGAAACTAATACATACAAGAAAACAAACAAAAACAGATCTCACCAGAAGACATATTACAATGAACAACAACCAACCAACCACACTCACACCCACACCCACACCCACACCCACACCCACACCCACACGCACCCCCCCCCCCCCCACCACACACAACCAATAACACAAAAAACAAAAAAAATAAGAAGAAGAAAAAAACACCAGAAGCACACACCGGACACAAAAAGAAACAAGAAATCATGAAGTTCCAAAAAATACCACAATTTTACATGTTGGGAGGTAACTTGAGCAACAAACTTTAAACAGTAATCCATACTAATACAAATCGGTGAATATTTGATAGAAAATTTTATATTAACCATTCAAGAAATTAAAGAAAAAAATGGATGGGAAACAGTTTCTGTAATAGAAATTTGATTACAGTTAGTCCTTATATGAATGCACTTAGAAGGAAACTTTCCAAATTTACCTGCACATCCTTGATCAAACTCATGCATGGCAAACTCCATACAATCACAAACAGATGCAGCAAACCCTTCACCTCTCTTAAGCGACTGTTCCAATCTATCCTTAAATTTTTCAGAAGTTCTGGTACGCAGATGTCCCAACATGGCTTGGTAAGCAGGATGCACAACCTATAGAAAGGATAAAAAACCACAAGATGATAAAGAAGTAGTGCTTATATCCTATATGAGAGAAATATTTCCAAGAATCTCATGAAAAACGAATATCTCACAATTTACGACTAGTGTATTCATGAAACTGCAAGTATCTCTTCAATCTGGTACATTTCATCCTAGTTATACTTAAAAAAAATAGTGCAACATGATAACTGGACGTGTATCATACAAACAGCAAGCAAGTCAATAATATTTGGTAAGTTACTCATAACCAACCATACACCAGAAGATATTTCAATTAAGGGAATATATGCTATAAGACCACTCAGCTTGGTAGAAGGAGGTTAAAATCATTCTTAGCCATAGAAATTGAGAAATCCTACAGGTTGCAAGTATGTCACAATATCTGAGAAATTCTATTTTGAACTTTGTGCCCAGTCAATGACACATTCCCAACCACCCGATTTAACATCTAACGGTCAATAATATTATCTCCCTAAAGCAGAAGTAAATGATTTTATTGCATATATTTCCTTCAGTTAGTACTTTTCTAATTTTTAGACATTAAGTTTAGAAAAAAAGTTGGAAACCGGGGGCGTGGGAAAAAACACACAAAAGAATGAAAAATCTCAACCCAACGGCAAAGATAGTATCATTCAAATGAAAAATACCACCAGCGTATATGCTGACATATAAGAGAATCATCATACTATCTAAGCATTTTCTGCAGTTTTTCCTTTGCATGAAATGGTGGAATTCCTTAAACTTATCCTTTTTCTTTTCTTTTTTTCTGTAGATCCTCTAGCGATGGTATTCGTAGACTATTCTCAGCATATCACTATGCCCAATTCCCTCTTGATCCACAAAGGGATATAGCATTTCTTCATTAGGAGAAGAGACATTTGAAATCAAATGCCTATTGACAATCAAAGTCAATTTATCCTATTCTTATTCCAATTTTTTGTCTAAATGACCAAGACATCTGCTTTTCAGACTGAAAATTTTTCCAACCATCTAGGAAAACTAAGAAAATTGGCTTAGACAGTGCCAGATGGCCCACACTCAAATCACAAAGACATTGAAATACCAACTAATTCAATGTCGAAATTTTCATCCGTATGAAGCAATTCAACAATCATTCAAGTACGGAATAAAATTCTCAAAAATAGAAGTTGCCAATATACCGAGAATGAAACCTAAATACATAAAAAGAACACAGCATTCATGCTTTGTAACTATTTTTTGCAGCCTAGAATCTTCACAACATACCAGAACAAGTACGGTAGAGTAACTTACATTTAATGCTTTCATCTCCAGCTGTTGCCGCTTTGATACCCTTACACCCTCTTCAAAGTAAATTGCCTCCATGTCATATCTGTTAAAGAAAATGATAAATATTTCAAAAATCCATAGATTTTACAATACTCTCTTGAGTAGTAAAAATAAATCATTATTTGAAGCATCAAGTAGTCTTATAGAAAGAAAGGACAATAAGTTGCTGATATTCACTCATTATGTACCAACAAAAGAAATGAAGCTGCATCCAACATAAGAGAATTCTAGTCTGTGGCACGTGCTATGCACAAGCAAAATGCAAGAGAGAGAAGATATGTGGAGAGGAGAGAGAGAAGAGAGGGACAGGAAGAGTTATATATATTTGTGTGTGTGTGTAATTTGTGTGTGTGTGGAATTAAGACACATTTTTGGAATCGTATACTATGAGACCATTTATTTTTGGCACAACAAAGTTACAATCACTTTTAGCCATTGGATCTGAAATCCAATAGATGAAAATGTGTCACAACATTCGAAAAATTTTGTTATGGACTTTGTGCCTAGACAAACACATCCTCAACCACCCGATTTTAAATCTAACGGTCAATAATGATTGTTATCTCTTTGTATCAAAAGTAAATGGTCTCATTGTATACATTTCCCACATTTCTTGTTTGAAACTTTATTTTGGAAAATAGGGCAGGAGGGAGAGTGGCATGTGAGAAGGAAAAAGAGAAACTGCCCCATCTATGTGTCACCATATGATTCACAGTGCGACAGACTTACATGCTCTCATCATTTAAAGAATATCATGGATTCCTAACTAGAGAAATTGTGGAAATGTCCCCTGATACAGAACAGCAGAGCGAAAAATCTAAGAGAACTATGAAGATGCATCCATCAGTAGCAGGAAAACAGAAAAGAAATAATACACAGTATAATATGCAAGCTACCTCACCCCGCCATTTACATGGACAGCCAGCCTGGGATTGCAGAAAGTGGACGTTCCTACACGAACCATATACTGTCTATCACTGGGAACTGAAGGTGGATGTTCCTAGAGCATACAATATATTCCATACACCAATGGTATGTGGATACTTTCTCAATTTCAAATGAAAATATATATCAACACAAAGTTTAACAGATGGAATATACTAGGAAACACCTTTCACAAAAAAAAATTAACACCAATAAACAGATATTGCCATGCTATGAAATGTCAAGCATTGTGATAGAACGTATAGCACATAAATGATTTGTGGACTTGTTGGATTTTGATACCCCCAGCCTTTTACATCGCAACATTCATTTATGGAGAAAAGCAGTTTAAATAGTCCATAATAGCAGAAATAAACAAAAGAGGTACAGCCTGGCGAAGATCAGAAATCATATAACACCTAAAAGAAAGGGGAAAAAAAAGAACATGTTGACAGCTCAGAAGACCGTTTGCTCATGAAGATTGAGTATGAATAGTAAAACATACACATTTGCCAGCAATACGCTATTGACAAGAAAAATAAAAAAATGGAGCTCGGAGAATTGCCCTGGATAAATTGGCTTACTCTTGCAAATACTTCTCCAAAATGGAGCTAAGTGTTTTTCCGAAGCCTGATACTGGACCTATTTGTACAGCTTCCTCTAGGGCACGCCAACCCTGAAAGAACATCCATAATGTGCAATTGTTACTTGTGAATTTCATTTGTGAGGACTTGATATCTAAGAAAGTAACTCTTATAATTAATGATGAAATACCTCATCTGTGGTTAAACGACCAAGTTTTTCATTTGCAATCTCTTCACAGCGAACTGTGGCAACCATTACCTAAATGACATGTGAATAATAAGCATTTCAGAAGGCAATCTGCTATCTGCAGTATTTCCTCATCATTTGTAAATTGCAACAAAAAAAATACAGAAGCCATTTACCTTATGAGCAGGTAGATCAAGGTCTTTATTTTCTTTAATGATTTTCCATATCTGCTGTGCACTGTATGCAAATCCTGAGGCAGGAATAACACCCCTTCTATCACCAGCAAGCCCTCCAGGAGCAATGGAATAAAAAAACCGCTGCCTTAGAGATGCAACCTTCATAAAACAAGCCATAACACTCAGTATGACACAATACCCATGACATGCTTCAGAATACAAAATAGCTACCAAGCGTTCTATTGATACAAGACAAAATTATTCTTATTTTTTAATTTTATTCAATTTCAAAAGATGTATAATTTGATCTTAGTTTTAGAATTTATGGTTAGGGTTTTTAAGCTTTTTAAGGGATTCTAGGATTTTCTTTTCATTTTTATTTACTATTCACTGGTACTATTCATGGATACTATTCATTAGTTACTGTTCACAGGGGGTAAAATTGTCATTACAAATTTTGTGTTTAAGTTAGGACTTTTGGGGTCATTTTAATTATTGTACGGACAATTAATGTCTTAAAATATTAGATTATGATATATAAGAGGTGTTAGAGCCATGAGGGGGTTATTCCACATTAATTTTAGAAATTGAAAGAGAGAAAAGCTTAGGCTTTTGAAACCCTAGGCTTCACCTAGCTATGGCACTTGTGTTTAGCATGTTTTCTTGCTGAGTTTACTGTTCTTTCAATTTCCCTTCATCATACATGAACTAATATCTTGCCTACTATTGAATATAGAAACATGCAACATGTCCAGGATCAAGCATGAATAACCCAGACACTCTTGTAGTGAGGAAAGCCAACTGGTCTAAGAGAGTCCTGAGGATCATGATATCAATAATCATATCTAGGGTTTACCTGCTCTTTAAACTGATCTTCCTTCTCTTCGTAGCTGGATAGAGCAGTGACATCCACCTGTGTAATATGATTCATGAGAACTTTACGAGGGTATATATGAATGTACATAATCAAACAACTGATATTCACTCACGTTAAAGAATTCACTGAGTGGAGTATCCTTATGCGCTTTGGGCTTAGAAACAGAATCCCATATCTGCAGAGACCATGATCAGGAAACATGTTGAAGATCACATAATGTGCCATATATCAATATAAATGGGTAAATGGTACCTTCTGTATATCTTGCTTGAGAGCTGATTCCAAAAGTTCAAATGGCGTCTACACGCAAAAGCAAGTTTTAAATGCCAGACTCATATGTGGCTAAAAGCTTGAAAACGTCAACCATTTGAGAGTGAAAATAATATGTACAAGTTGAAAGTACAAACCTTTGTCTTGTCACGAATAACAAATAGCAAAGTTGTTTTGCGAGGACTAAATAAGCGCATCATCACCTGACAATAAAACGATCAATCCAGCAAGGGGAGAGAGAGAGAGAGTATTCTTATGCAGTTCTCCAAACAAATACTAGATTTGTTACACGAAATACCTGGAAGACTATTTTTAGAAGAGGTTTGTTTGCAGCCTGTTCCCGACCAATATCATGACACCAACTGTATTATCAACATGTAATCTAGGTTACTTGTACAAAACATTCATATGTAAGCCTTACAATACTTTCTTGCATCATAAGCACAGGAAGCTAAATTGTATAGAGCTTTAGAAGACTCACATGTTTATCAGTACAACGTCTGAAACGGCCAACGCAAATAGAGCACTCTGTTTCTCAAATGTGGTATCATCCTGGAAAAAATACGAAAAACACTGTTACCATCCCAGAAACCTCGAACAAGCCAAACATAAAGAAGCTAATCACTAAATGACAGTTCCATAGATAAGAGACGGTTTTCTAAGCCACAAGCGACAAAAACCTATCAAAAGTAATTACAAAGTAAGGTGCATCACCTCTCCTCTTTCCCTCCCATCAGTACCCTCCAAGTCCATGACAACCGTAAAAGGTTCAATACCAACACAATTTGCCAACCAAATACCTTTGGTCGTTTGACTCCTGAGGAAAAATGAGAACAATGATAAATCATACAGCTGCCTTATTTTTCTTTTGTAAATTATACAGACGCTCTACACGCATCACATTGGATATTTTCTTTTTCCTCTTTTAGCATACTCGTAACTGATCAAGGTCCGAGAGATCTACCTTCCCTTAAAAGCATCCATTTCCCTAAAATTAGTCCCAAATAGATGGTTCAACAGTGTGCTTTTCCCTGTTTCAAGAATGGAAGAGGATCATTACACCAACAAAAGATGCTAACATTGCCAAAAGGGAATATTAACTGCAATTGGGGCCATAATTCAGTGTAACTGTGATCTTACAAACCATTCCCAAAACAACAAATGTCTTCGCAATGAAAAGGAACAAGAGTTAACATTCTGAACAAAAACATAGAAATCCTCCCTAGAAAAGTTGAGGCAGTTCACGCTTAAAATACAAAATGCTTAGGCTTAAGGGAAAAAGTTTGATCTGGAGATTGTTTCTTATGGGTGAACATCATTGGGCTGGCACGAGCGGCTCCATAAATTTATGGGCATTATTGTATACATACAGATGCATGTTTTACATAGGAAAGCATATATTCACCCATAAAATTATAGAGAGTAGAGACATGCATATGAGGATGAGGATGTGTAAGTCACCTATTCCCCATGCTCTTTTAGTGTTCTAAATTTTTTTATTTTTTTCATTATGATGCAACCCAAACTACTCTCGAGTATCTAGATAAGAAAGACAAGCTTAAAGTTTACAAGAGGAACTGCAGAAAGGCAAAATAGTCATTGAATCTGTCCTTTTATGTCTTTTATTTATTTCTCAAGTCATTTTATTCACAGGGTACAAGTAGTAATTTCTAGAGTCTTTTATGTCTATCTATTCACTTAAAAGTCTTTTATAATGAATAGCCATGATTGGATTAGATGGATAGCCAGGATTAAGTATTGTTTAGGGTTAGATAAGAGATGTACTCAAGCATAAGGACGCATCTTGTTGTAGACTTTGTTCAAAACCCTAGAGCAGCTAGTGCTCCTCCTTTTATATCTAGTTTTTGCATCTTTCTTTAAATTTGGATCTTTCTTTAACCCTAGCTTAACGCTACTAGGTCTGTGTCTATGCCACATTCGGACAAATTTTCCAAAATTTTCGTGTTCATTTGATTTGGTGATTGCAAAACTGACGCAGTATAAAATTTATCGGCAAACACATCTGGCAAAAGTAACCGCGTTTAAGAGTGAGGAATAAAAATCCAGAAGGGAATCACAAGAAGAAATAACAAAACGCACGGATATGAGTATTCCGACACGGGCCCATAAGCAAAGGACAAGAAAAAACACCCACAAAGGGCTCTCTCTCTCTCACTCAACACGATCTAAAATATCATTTTTTTTCATTCATAAAATTCCATCTTTTCATTATATGGTGTGTGCCTCCTTCTTTTATACATTTAAAACTTCATCGCACATGACTCTCAAAACATAATCCCTAATATATCTCCCTACTAAAACGAAATATGATCATTAACCAAAATAAATCTATCTCTAGATTCTTTCCATATTCTTCCATCCAACTTTCAAAAAGATAACTACAACTCCCAACTTCATCCTTTCCACCTACGTGACTCATTATTTTCCCTTTAACCCAATACAAAAAGATAACACTCCCTTTAATATAGGAAGCAACATATATTTCCTAAAAAGTAAAGATAAACACCTTGTACCCCCAACTAATACATGAGATAAGCTTTCCTAAACCAACTAAAGATAACTTCCTATATGCAAAACATGACCCCCTAGCACAAATCTACCAAGCTCAATCTTAGGAAGTAAACCACTAAAAGATTTGCTCCAAGATTTGCTACAATGGACATAATCCAAGAAGACAGATGTTATCGACTAAACCAAAAACTTAGATTAAATCTATTTCTAACATTTAACCATAAATAAATAATAAAAGAAATAAAAAATCTATCCACATCTCTAAAAATTAAAAACATAAAGAATTAAATTAAATTTTGAATCATGCCGTTTTTTATCTGCATCATTCTCCCCTGGTTGAAGAAAACCCGTCCTCGAGTTTTAAAATGCACTAAGATAAAATTTGTAGTAGTCCCGCAGCCTTCTTCAACCTGAATATTGAAAAAAACGATCCTACGACCTGTGGGTTACTGCATTGATCAAGACACAACGATGGTGCACTGAAATTGTGATACCCTCGAGGAAAGGGACGTTGTATATTGATTTTTCAGCCACATCAAAGTGTTGAAATTGCTCAAACTTCACCTTGGGGCACACCACGAATGTATCGATTTCTTCATCATACATTTCTATAGGCTTGATCTTTTCTGGGATCAAGTCACCTTGATTCTCCACCTCTCCATCGATAAGAAAATTAGATATCCTCGCTGCCTCAAGAATAACTTCTTTCCTTTCATCTTGTTCTTCATAAAAAACAGGAACTTCATCAAAGATGGGGTAACCTGTTACATCCAAGAATGATGATTGCAATTGAAGATCCAAAACTACACATTCTTCATCTTCAACTGATTCTTCATCAAACATCGGTAGATCAATCTCCCGACAATGAGGAAATAGATCATTCTCCCGACCATGAGGCTCCCGACACAGAGCGTTGGTATAGAACGGGTTCTCGAAAATAGCATCCGACTCACTGCCATCATCATAGTGTGTCGAAGCTAGTTTTTGCGCCAAGCGCAGGGTCAGCACTTCTACTTGCCTTCTTAAACTTTTGTTCTCCATCTCTCGGAGAGAGGAATAAAAATCCAAAAGGGAATCACAAGAAGAAATAAAAAAACGCGTGGATACGAGCATTCCGACCCAGACCCATAAGCAAAGGACAAGAGAAAACACCCACAAAGGGTTCTCTCTCTCTCACTCTACATGATCCCAAATATCACTTTTTTTAATTCATAAAATTCCATCTTTTCATTACATGGTGCGTGCCGCCTCCTTTTATACATTTAAAACTTCATCTCATGTGACTCTCAAAACATAATCCCTAATATATTTTCCTACTAAAACCAAATATGATAATTAACCAAAATAAATCTATCTCTAGATTCTTTCCATATTCTTCCATCCAGCTTCCTAAAAGATAACTACAACTCCCAATTTCATCCTTTCCACCTAAATGACTCATTATTTTCCCTTTCAATCCAATACAAAAAGATAACACTCCCTTTAAAATAGGAAACAAAATATATTTTCTAAAACTAAAGATAAACACCTTGTACCCCCAACTAATACAAGAGATAAACTTTCGTAAACCAACTAACAAATAACTTCCTATATGCAAAACGTGACCCCCTAGCACAAATCTACCAAGCTCAATCTTAGGAAGCAAACCACTAAAAGATTTGCTCCAAGATTTGCTATAATGGACTCAATCCAAGAAGATGGACCTTATCGACTAAGCCAAAAACTTAGATTAAATCTATTTCTAGCATTTAACCCTAAATAAATAATAAAAGAAATAAAAAGTCTACCCACATCTCTAAAAAATGAAATTAAATTTTGAATCATCCCTACTTTTATCTGCATCCAAAACCCTGTGCCCAAGAGAATGTCAAGGCCAATTCCTTGCTTAAAAACAATTCTTCATTTTGTTGAGGCAAGCAACTCATTCCAATCAAAAATCATAATCATATGGTGACAATGGGTATCAAATCTCTTTTTCTAGATGAAGAGTATCAAGAAATCTGTTTAGTGATGAGTACAAAGAACTCCTAAGTTAATGCATGAAAAGCATTTAAGGAACTCCAATTACTACAAACACAAAGATAACTGCTAGAATAAAGTATTAAATATACAGTTTTTCTGAAGAGAAACATAAAAAAAAATTTGCACCTATTTCTTTGTTATGCTTTACAAGCTATAATAGAAACAAACAAAGCATATTTACCCTAATAGTGTTATTATAGCTCATCAAAAATAAAAATGGTATGCAAAGTAGAATTCTGAGATGATTATAACCAAATATTTTCACAATTAAGAGAAGTGGATGGTTGGAAAAGTCAGAGCCAAATACATGTATGTCAACCATCACAAAGTATACAATAATCATTTAAGGCAAGAAACTAACAAGCATGACCAATTATATTCAAGGGCCTAGCTTCCTTCCAAGACTCCCCTGACATTCAAGCGTATCAAAGAAATCGATGCCATTTCTCAAGATCCCATTTAAGCAGATAGCTATTTCGCTGGAAGTGTTTAAATATGATGACAACCAGAAATCATCCTCCAGTTCTACCCATTCCATAAAATAAGATGCATAAATAAGCTCTGTAGCTTCATAAACATGCTAAAAACAAAGCACCTGAAGAATAGTGAAATTTATCAAATTTTTTGATTCAATAACATGGGTGAAAAATATTTAAATGCACATACCACTACTTTGAGGGCCCATAATCGAAACCACCGCATAGGAAAGACCACGCTCACCCATTTTCACAGCTTTCATAAAGTCCTCAAGGGCAGAAGTATTAAAGGCACCTTCTCCATCTATAAGCTCGATTGAATGGCACACATCCATCCTAGGAAATCCTAACTGCATTATGAGTGCAACAACAATGCCAAGTAAATATTCATTCGCAAATTTGTCAATGAGTACATCATCATTATTATATTGGTTTGAATCTCATTCTTATTTTATTCATCATAAAATATCATAATATCTTTTCGATTGCTTTGTTCTTGAAACATAATAATGACATCAAGCATGACAACGCATAATATTCAGATGATAGAAACCACTATTAATAAGAAACACCAAAAGGAATAAGAAAGACGAGTAACATTGCAACGCACCATCAGATTCACAACGCATATCACACGAAAGAGCTTATAACATGTGTCACAAATATGTTTTATCTTTTTTTTTAATCACGAGGAAACTTTGAGATGAGAGTTAAATAAGCATGCTCCTCATTGTCACCTTCTATATCTGTCACTTGATCTTTGTGCTATCCTCCTTGTTGCTTGACATGTGAAGTAACCAATGGTACTTCATAGATATGGGAGATGTTCAAGTATGTGACAATCCTCACGACTCTTGTTCTACTTTCTTGAACTTGGAATCAAAATAAAATTGTAAGTTTGTAACCAATTTATTGATTGATATCCAACAAACAAAAAAAAAAATCTCATGCAATTGTTTCACCAATTATGACAGAAGCCTCCATGATTGAAAGTAATGGCCAGAACATCCTTTACAGTATATCGACCATGATGATTTGAAATTACATGATTCAAACCAATATGATCATGATTATATTCAATTTCCTTCCCTTCAAACATGGGGTGAACACCACGAAGGACATGGATTTTATTTTTCTTACAACCGAACCAGCTCTGACACTTTATGTAAACCAACAAAAAATGGTATGCAAAGACAGAATGTAGAATTAAGAAGCATATCATCAATTCTGCTAAATTACCTACAAAATACAATGTAAGAACTTGACCAAAGGTGCCCCAGTTCCATTCATTCACATACTAAAGAACAACAAATGAGATGAAGTATTGGGCAGTGAATAACTAAGAATTACTAAATCAATCTGATTTCGATCAGTTATTGGATGCACAATTTTTGCTTAAGCACATAAACTATGGAAATTCACGTACTTAAAGAACCAGAGAAGCCCCTCAAGTAACACCTAGAAGCATAATAATTGGATACAATTTTGAGGTATATTTTCCAGCCTCTTAAACATGTAAAATATAATGCAAAAATAAATAAAAATGCAAGAAACCACCATCGAAGAGCCCTATCATGGAGAAGTTCATGCCATACAGGTATAGAAAATATGTGGGATCATAATCGGCACACACAAATTATGCTAAGTAACCATGAATAATTAAGAAATATATCTAAAAGACCCAAAAATTTAATGAGAGAGAGAGAGAATGAATGAAACATGGTAGCGATACCTTTGATATATCTCACTTCTTCTTCCCTTTCGTTTTCAAATTTCGATTGCTCTTTTCTCTTTCTTCCAATTCAGTTACTCCTTGATAATAGAATCTAAAAATTCTTCAGAAGAAAAAAGGATTTACAGATATAACTTATCGAGAAAACCCTATAAATGGTATGAGAGTTACAAAGCTAGAGCTCACCCAAAGTACATCCCACAATTTGCAGCCCAAAAAAACATATACAGGAAAAGAATGTCGAAGAAACCCTAAAAAAAACAGATGAGAGCGATTGGAGTACGAAATAAGTTTCGTGCTCTCTAGAAGACAGAGAAGCTGAAAATAGAATAATTCAATTCTGCTTAGAGCGAGACACTAAAGGCTACTAGAGAGAGACCCGGCGCACGGTGGCAAAATGCAAAAATGAGGTCAAAATGTAGAGAGAGAAGGGGCGGAATGTTGAAAAAGTTGTAGAGAGAAATGGAATATCGCAGACGAAAACCAGTGTCGGCTTCGATGGTAAGACCGGCGGGATATGACGTGGCAGTCCGTAGAGAAGAGCCCCTGCACCTTTGGTTGCTAATAAGTGCGAATTGCTTAATTAGAGCTAAGCTCGTTATTATTTTTGATAAATAGAACAATAAAGATCTAAGTTCCTAATTATTATTATTGTTTTGAATCTTTTTGCTCCTAATTATTATCATCTCTCTTTTTATTGAGCTCATAATTATTATCATCTTTCTTTTATTGAGCTCCCGTAGGAAAAGTAATTTATAAAAAAAAATGTATTGAGTATAGCATATGGGAAATTTAAGTTACTAAAAATACTCCTATATCAGGTTTTGCACGTGGGAGTAATAGAAAGTATGCTCCCTTCGGAGCATGAAATCTTCTGGGAAGTTTTTTTTTTTTCCCCTTTTTTACTGCGATTAATTGTATGTTGGGCTGTCCAATTACCTTCAATCTGAAACTTTTTTACTTGATATCAACAAAAGATCTCACATGTTTAATTTTTTCCATATATGTTAAACCATGCATAGAAAAAATAAAATAATAAAATCGTATGTTCTTGCAGGAGTGCATTATGATACATTTGACCTCCTCGTCCTAGCCGCCAATATCAATGAAAAGGAAAAACATTGTTAAAATGGTTAGACCACTTCACAAAATCATTGAAGCAATAAAATCCTCTAATTTAACCGTAGAGTGGTTACTTTACAAGATTCATCGCGCTTTGATGCCTTTTTCCAAATTTTTGTTTAAAAATGCTCAAAATAATATTCTCTAATATTCACAATGTGGAATAAACAAGGGCATTTTGGTGTTTCTGTCTTGCTCGAGCCAAATGAAAAAAAAATGGAAAAGTATATTATGAAATAATTTACGTTTGGTACAAGGTGGTCATAATTAATTTTGACTATTGAATGTCAAATTGGTCGGCTGTATTTATTTCATTGACCAAGCTCAAAGTTCAAAAAAAAAAAATTTCAAACTTTATGACATATCCAAAATATCATATTTCACATCGGATAGTTATAAATAATTGTGACTTCTTTTTACCAATGATAAATTGTCTCATTATAATTAATCTCCCAAAAAAAAATACAAGATTATGGTTCCCTAACCTTGTGTAAGTGGTGCTATAACCCTTAATTCACTCGATCAACTTTGTATGAGCATAATAACTAAATTACCCCTTCTTGTCTTGGGTTTGGAACCTAGAATCTTATTCTTTTCAATAAAACGGCTAGCTAAGGGTTCCTAATTCTGAGCAATGAGAGATAATTTAGCCATTATCGTTGGATTTAGGGGCCCTTGAGTTGGGCAATTAGCATCTCGCTTTTGTCATTAGAAATGTTTGTTTGGGATTTTTAATTAAGAATATACAAGGAAAATTATGTAATTGATTCGACCAACTTAAATGAGGTAAATTTATCAAAATGCCCTTACTTGTGCAGAGTTTCGAAATCTAAATAAGACAATTTGGGTCTTTTCTAAAAAATCGAGGAGGTGCTTGAGTGAATTAAATATAAAGGAACCATTCCACTATTAAAATTTTATGATTTGACAACTTTAATGATTTTGTGCGGTTGCTGGACAATTTTAGTGTTATTTTCCCAATAAAATTTCTTGTGCACTTTACATATGCCTAAAAAAACAAATGTCATAAGGGTAAACAAAGGCTCTATATGTGCCCAAAAAAAAGTAGAAGTTACATAGATCGCAAATTTGCACACATGTACACACCAAATAACCTCTTCAAATAAAAGAAAACTATATATTAGAAAAATAGTAAGCAGACAATGTGTGCTATTTCTTGGCCATCCAAATCATCCCTCTCCTTTGATCAGGCTGTCCGGCCTATGCTACAATAAGCTCCTCAATACACAATAATCTTTTCTCTTTTTTTTCTTGAACACGTATCGTATATAATATGCAGACTCTTTATTCTTATCTTTAACACTTTATCTCAAAAGAAGAGAGCAACAAAAGCATAGGCTTGACAAAGCAAGGCCAAAGGACTGCCGCTAAAATTCAGAAGGCAAATCGACAAAAGCAAAAGGCACAAAATGTGCTACAAAACCAAAGAGACTTTCTTTTCACAACGAGTAACAAGATTAACCACCTGAAGTAAGCCAAAAAAATTAAGAAACTTGTTTCCCAAATAAGCTCAAGACACAATTGTCACAACCCTAACCTAAAGGGAAAGATGCTATGAGATGTCTTAATGGTAAATGTGCTTTTTTTTCTCAAAAAAAAAAAGAGAGAAGATGCGGGTGTTTTGTTGTTCCCAAGAAAGATAGCAATTATTAAAAATAAGAAATGAGCCTTTAGCCCGAGAGGTTTGGATCCAGCTATAATATAGCGGAGCCGACATGAAAGATTCCATTTCTGCCTATTAACATGTAAAAAAAAAAAATCATTACTAAAGGAAGCATAAACAAAAGTGACACTATAATTGAACAGATTTCAAGTCACAGGTAAAGCACTTTGAAATGTAGAATGTGAATCATAAAGTTACAGCGAAAACCATGACTCCATTGCACTATTTTTTTGGAGCTCTCAATTCATGGATCTCGGACAAATTTTGTGCTACTTTGGAGCTGCAAATTTAAGGATCTTAGACAAAAGTTAGATTTAAAGTTAGACACAAATCATGTATCTGATTCACCAAGTATTCTTCCATGTTGAGCCATGCAAGTCCTTTATTCTTTTTTTTTTTTCTTTATCTGAACAAAAATATTGTATTGGTGAGGGTAGAAACCAAAACATCATATTGTGGCACTGGCTCCTCCTGCCTTGAGCCTGTTCTCAGGGTCATTTTCTTTCAATCCACAGCTTTCCTTTCTCCCTGCACAATTTTTATATATATATTTTTGGGTAATTTAATGGGGATGACGAGCCCCTACCTATTTTTTAAAATTGTTAGTGGTTTTTAAATGCGTTATCTGAGGATGGAAAAATAAAATGATAAAGACGGGATTGGATACCTCAACATCTTGGAAAAACCCGTACCGCACGATTTGTATATTAGCACGAGCTTAGTGCATTATATCCAATGTACTTAAAAGAATGATAACTAGGAATCTTGCTTGGGCTTGAGTATTTGGATATTCACGATTGAAATACTGCTTCCCAAACTCGATTCCTACTAGTGAACCGTGAGAGAGAGAGAGGGAGGAAGGGAGGGAGAGAAAGAGAGAGTCAAAATTTAATAAAAAAAAAGAAAATAATAATTGTAACAAAAAGAAACTACAGTGTGAACTAGCTGCGAAGAAAGCTTCAAGCCAGCAAAGAAAACGGCTTTCGGGATGTAGTTTGCTGAGGCGTCGAGAATCATAATTTATAAAAAAGAAAATAATAATTGTACAAAAAATACATTGAAAGAAGTGTGAAGTTTGTATAAGGCGCCCATCTTGTATTGTAGAAGTAAGGCGCACCTCTAAAATACTTTTGAATATGTAGTTTAAGTGTTGGAAACCTTGTGATGGCTTGAAAATCTATTTTTATCTCTAGTTGTGAAATTTAAAATTAAAAAAAAAGTTACAAATTGAGCAAATCTATAAACACTTAGAGAGAAATTTACGTATGGACCTTATTGGGGGAGAGGGGGGTCAATTACAAAATGGGAACACATTTTTTGCAAGTTACGGGCTTCCCACTCCCGAGATTTTATTTTTTCTCAAGTTACCCCCATTTACGGTAAACCGAACACCAGATATGTGAGTTTTTTTGCGTTTAAACGAAAAGCAACTGTCCGGTGTTCAAAATACCTTATTCCATAATCCTTTGTCTGGTATTTCAAACACCGGACATCAAACTTAAAAAACTTAAGGGATTGTATACAATGAGACCATTTAACTTTTGTATATGGAGGTTACAATTGCTTACAACCATCTGATATGAAATCTTATGGCTTGAATGCGTCACAAAATTCGAGAAAATTTCTTTTGAACTTTGAGCTTGATCAATGAAATAAATGTAGCCACCCAACTTCCCATCCAATAATCAACATTAATTATGACGATTTTGTACCAAAGGTAAATGGTCTCATTATGTACCTTTTTAAAACTTAAATAGCTATCCGGTATTTTAAACACCAAACAGTTGGCTTACATTGAAATGTAAAAAACCCACTTATCTGGGGTTCGATTTACTGAACAGAGAGGTAACTTGGAAAAAAAACCGCCCAGGGGGTGTCACCCGTAATTTTGAAAAAATGTGTTCCCTTTTTGTAATTGACCCCCCCCCCCCCCCCCCCCCCAACTATGATCTGTACGTAAATTTCTCACACTTAAAAAATCTTAACTATAGACCATCCAGATAACTTGTTACAAAATATGTTATTTCGAAGACTCGAATCTCTTGTTTTCTTTATATCCACATATCTCGATCTAGATGATCATTTGGAGGGTTCTCCAACATCATAACACTCTCTTCTAAATGAATTTTGCGGTGCTTCTTACTCTAATTGTACAAAAATACAACCTTATAAACTTTTGGAGTTATATACTATAAGATTATTTATCTTTGGAACAAGAAGGCCACAAGTAATCTTAGCTATCAAATGTCAAATCAAAAAACATAGAGTAAGTCACAAAGTTGGAGAAATTTTTTTTTGACTTTGATCTTGATAAATGTAAAACTCTCAACCGTCCAATTTCAAATCTAACGAACAAAAATAACTACAACATCCTTGTACAAAAGACAAACCGTCTTATTGTATACAGTTTCTAAACTTTTTCCTTCAAAGAAACATAAAGCCACCGCCTAAGATAGTTTGTGAATGTCCCAAAAAATATCCAACTTAAAAGGGAAAGCGACCATCGCAAGTGACATATCAAATAAGAGATTTGCTTCCATTCAGTAGCACATATAAAAGCAATCACAAGTTCCATATCATTCAGGTCCAAAATTAAAAAACATGTTTGAAGTCACTGGAATCAGCAAATTAAAATTCCACTATGAGCTTGGAATGAGCACTAAGGATCAATAGAGTCAGGACGACTAGGAAGGAAGCCGTAGGTACAAATTTCATTGAACTAATTAGCTTGTTGGAATTCCTAGATGATCAGAGAGTTCATTGCAAGTTCCAACTAGGGCTGACAATATGCCGGGCGGCCCGTCCCAGTCAGTCCCGCCCTAAAATTTTGGGTCTAGATCGCATACTTTTGTCCGAGGGCTGGGCTAGGCTAGTGTTGGCCCGGTTTAGACTGGCCTTCATTTTATTTTTCTATTATTTTTTCCTTATCTGTTTTGGCCTGACCCGGATTTAACGGGGCAAGGCCGAGCTTGGGCCAGCCCCATGGGACAAGGGCAGGGCTAGGCCCAACCGAGTGAGGTATGCTACAATTGCTTAATCATCATGTCTCTCGGGTACACAAAATTATGGAAAAAAAATATTAAAAAGTCGGATTATCTTATCTTATAAAATAAGGGCAAGCTTTCTATGTTTCCCCTACCACATAAAACTTATATACTTCCCCTTATCCAACCCTCCATTTTGAATGGAGGGTTACGATTGTCCCAATCACAATGTCATGTCTGTACACTATTGTATTTTTAATTTTTTTCCTATAAACTATTTTGACACCAAATTTTGGACGTTCTATCCTCTATTAAACTCACACTAGTGAAAAATATAAAAAAAATTTCTAATAAAATAAAATGACCAAAATACCCTTTAAATTTTAAAGGGTATTTTGGTCATTATATTTTATCGAAAAAAAAAAGTAATATTTTTTATAGGTGCGCCCCAATGAGAAGATGACACGTATCAAATTTCATGTTCAT